AAGAATATAAACACAAAAGATGACAAAAGCGGTTACCAGTTTGTGTCGGGGGGAATAAGTTTTTTTAGTTTGTGTTTTAACGGTTTTAGGAAAAAGCTTAAGTTAAAAAAATAAAGCAACAGATACCTTGATTTCTAAATGAACACTACTGTACCTCAATTACATCAGAAATTCTACACACTGAAAGAGGGCTTATATGAAAACATGAAACAGAATAATCTGTCAAATAAGCATAACAGAGCATAAAGGATGTGTGTATAGTAGATGTAGCTGAACTCCAACTTTTCATAATGAAAAAAATTAAAGAGTTTCTAATGTTTACTTCAGCTAGGAATTTAAAAAACTACAGTTAATAAGACTTCCAGCAAAGTTGCAAGATACAAAATAAATCCACAGAAGTCAGCTGTGTTTCTGCACACTAATAACAAATAATCTGAAAAGGAAATGAGGGGTGCCTGGTTGGGTCAAACACAAGAGCATTCAACTCTTGATATTCGGGCCTTGAGTTCAAGCCTGATATTGGGTGTGTAGATTACTAAAAAAAAAAATAAAACCAAAAAAAAAAAAAAAAAAAAAAAAAAAAAAAAAAAAATTCCAATAAAGGAAATGAAAACATTTCCATTCATAGCATCAAAAAGAATACTTAGGGAGAGACTGGGTGGCTCAGTCGATTAATCATCTGACTTTGGCTTAGGTCATGATCTCATGGTTAATGGGATGAAGCCCCACATTGGGCTCTGTACTTCCAACACAGAGTCTGGAGCCTGCTTCGAATTCTGTGTCTCCCTCTCTCTCTGCCCCAACCCCACTTAAGCTCTGTCTTTGTCTCTTGACCATTCTTTGGGGAAACAGTCTTTTCAACAAATGGTGCTGGGAATATTAGATATCCACATGCAAAAGAAGGAAATTGGCTCTTATATACTTTCATCAAAGTGGATGAAAGATCTAAACATAAGAGCTAAAACTATAAAACAGGGTGAAAGCTAAATGATACTAGAACTGGCAATGATTTCTTGGGTAAGACACAAAAAGTGCAGGTAACAAAAGAAAAATATAGATAAACTGGACTATATCAAAATTTTAAACTTCTGTACATCGAAGGACATAATGAACAGAAGTGAAAAGGAACCCATGGAATGGGAGAAAATATCTGAAAACTATATATCTGATAAAACAGTAATATCCAGAACATATAAAAAACTTATACAACTCAACAACAAAAAACCAAACCTGATTAAAAAGTAGACACAGGACTTGAATAGACATTTCTCCAATGATACACAAATGGCCAGTAAGTACATGAAAAAATAGTCAACATCACTAATCATTAGGTAATGCAAATCAAAATCACAGTATCACCTTACTAAGATGGCTACTATTATCAAAAGAAAAGAAAAGAAAAGAAGAGAAAAGAAAAGAAAGAAAAAAAAAACAGAATATATCGAGTATTGGTGAGAATGTGGAGAAACTATAATATGTGCACACTGCCGGTGGAAATGTTAAATGCTGCCATGGAAAAAAGTATGGTAATTCCTCAAAAAATTAAAAATACAATTATCATATAATTCAGCAATCCCACTTCTAGATATACATCCCAAAGAGTTGAAAGCAGGGTCTTAAAGATTACTTTTACACCCATGTTCAGAGCAACATTATTCTCAACAGCCAAAAGATGGAAGTAACTCAAATGTCCAATGATGGATGAAGTGAATAAGCAAAATGTGGTTTATACAGTAGAATATTATTCACCCTTAAAAAAGAAAAAATCTGTAATATGCTACAATATGGATGAATCTTGAAGTCATTATGCTAAGTGAAACGACCTAGTCACAAAAAGACAAATACTGCATGACACCACTTTTATAAGGTACTTAGAATGGTCACAATCACAGATATGGAAAGTGGAATAGTGGCTGCCAGGGGCTGGAGGCAGGGGTAAATGGGAGTTATTGTTTAAAAGGTATAAAATGTCAGTTTTACAAGATGAAGAGCTCTGGGGATGGATGGTAATGATGGTCGCACAACATTATGAATGTAATTAACACCACTGAACTGTACAGTTAAAAACGGTTAAGATGAAAACTTTTATGTAAATTTTATGGCAACTTTTAAAAAGTATCCCCACAATTCCCCCTCGCCAAGAAGAGATAAAAGTAAGAATTTTCTAAGATTTCTTAACCAACTAAATTTTCTCATGTTTATTTTTTTGGCCATTCTTTTTCTGTTTCTAGAAATCAGCAGTTTCAAAAATCATAAAAAGGAACATAAGAGTAATCAATATGTGAAATCTCTGTTACAACTTTTTTATAGTATCTCACTGTATCTGGCCAGGACAGTCCACAGCAGGCACTGATAATTATATAATGGTGCTGCTTCAGAAGGACAGCATTCTAATATCTAAACACATACGGCTAGCACATATGTTGCTTACTGTGTGCCAGAGACTCTCCCAAATGCTTTACATATATTAAAATATTTGAGCGTCCAACTTCAGCTCAGGTCATGATCTCACGGTTCGGTTCGTGGATTGGAGCCCTGCATCGGGCTCTGTGCTGACAGCTAGCTCAGAGCCTGGAGCCTGTTTCAGATTCTGTATCTCCCTCTCTCTGACCCTCCCCTGCTCATGCTGTCTCTCTCTCTCTCTCTCTCAGAAATAAAAAAAAAATTAAAAAAATATTTAATACAATATGAAGTAGTTATTATTAGTATCTCTATTTTACAGATAAGGAATCTGGTGCACTAGAAAGTTAAATAACTTGCACAAGGTTACCACCTTCAAGTGATGAGACAGTTTTCAAATAGTGGCAGCCTAAATCCAGAGCTCACAGATTTAACAAGTACATCACATGGCCTTTTTCTCAACACAGTACTACCTACAAGTAATAGAAGTAGGCACTCAAAATGAAAAATTTAGACTTAATCCTAAAGATAAGGCATGGTAGGGGCGCCTGGGTAGCTCGGTTGGTTAAGTGTCTGAGTTTGGGCAGGTCATGATCCCACAGTCCATGGGTTTGAGCCCCGTGTCCGGCTCTGTGCTGATAGCTCAGAGCCTGGAGTTTGCTTCAGATTCTGTGTGTGTCTCTCTCTCTGCCCCTCCCCGCCTCTACTCTCTCTCTCAAAATAAAGACATAACAATCTCTTCAGCATAGTACCTAATGTTTTACATAATTTGAACCTATCTTTCTTCTTTTTTAATTTTTTTAATGTTTATTTTTGAGAGAAAAAGAGAGACAGAGGGTGAATGAGGGAGGGGCAGAGAGAGGGGGAGACACAGAACCTGAAGCAGGCTCCAAGTTCCAAGCTGTCAGCACAGAGCCTGACGCAGGACTCTAACCCACTGACCAGGAGATCATGACCTAAGATGAAGTCGGACGCTTAACCGACTGAACCACTTGTTTAACTTTCTAGCACCATCTGCTTTCCACCTGCGCAATAAATCCCCATTGCCTACCTCATTTTCTCTGTGAGCTATATACCAACTTGTCTACAGTTCTTTGATTAAAATTCAGGCTCTTACTGCCCAACCTTTGCTTATGCTATTCTTTTTACTTAAAATGTTCCCTCCCCTCCTCCTATGATCTTCTTTGTCTGGCTAATTAGACTCATTTCAATTGTAAAGCCTGATCTGACAATATATCTCTTTCTCTGTCACACACACACACTCACACACACACACAAACACACACACCCTGTTCTTCCTTTGTGTTCCCAGATAACACGGTACACTACAAAATCCTTTAGAACTGTAACTATACATGATTCATTCTTATTCACAAGTTGTGGCATATGTAAGTGTACCCCAAAACTTCTCTTGAACAAATGTCTGCCAGTACACTGGGGTCTGCAAGAATACTTCTGGAGTTCATGTTTCACTAATTCATGATGAGTCCATTATCATGAGGTTCTGCCAGAAGCCACATTTACCACAGAAAGGTTCTAACACAGACCCATATACTAGGTGGATCATGTTTTAATGGCTCTCCTGTGTAATGTGAAAGCTGTCAAGCACTGTAGTTGCAGCAAGAAACAAACATAATACCAAGCAATTTCCACACATGGGAAAAATGTATTATGTTAAAGTCACAGAATTAGACAGACATTAATACCAAATCTGGAGTTTACCTTTAAGAGAAAATTCTTTTATCTGGAGTAGGTTTTAACATAATCACAAATATCTATATACTCATCCCAACCACAACTGCTCAATTCTCTGTACACTCATTGCATTTCACATAAACCTTTTAGTGCTTATTTCATTATACTGTAATTATCTGTTTACATGGCTCTATCTCTAGTAGACTGCAGGCTCTTTGAAAGCAAACTGTATTCACTTTTATATCTTAGTGCTTGGTAGCAAACAGATTCCCAAAAGCTTGAAGAATAACTTAAGTAGTATTTTTTTAAAATTATTTTTAACATTTATTCATTTTTGAGAGACAGAGCATGAGCGGGGGAGGGGTAGAGAGAGAGGGAGACACAGAATCTGAAGCAGGCTCCAGGCTCTGAGCTGTCAGCACAGAGCCTGATGTGGGACTCAACTCAGGGTCAGTGAGATCATGACCTGAGCCAAAGTCGGATGCTTAACCGACTGAGCCACCCTGGCGCCCCACTTAAGTAGTATTTTAATGGCTGTAAAGAATCCTGCAAATAATTTTATAGGACAAAAAAGTTTGGAGGTTTTCTATAACTTGACTGAGATCACAGAGCAAGTAGATAAATGAATTCAGAATTCACATCCAGGTAGTCAGTCAACAATTTCTATGCCCTTTCCACCACACCACACGTATTAGCATAGTAAATTACTATAAATTACTATGGGAATTACACCCCACAGTAGCTGTCTATAGTTATAAAGCAACAATTCAATCATAAATGACTCACAAAAAATTACCCTTATTTGGTCCCCTAAAAATGAGATCTCTGAACTGTCACACAAAGTTATAATTATTAGTCTCAATAGAATACTACTATAAGTATTTAAAAAAAAAAAAGATTTTTACCTTGTACTTCTTTATCATGATACTCCTTTAGTTTTGTCCAAAGTTCCTTAAAGTCATTAGATATATCTACAGAACTAGGGCTTCCACAATTGCTTCCAGAGATGTTCATCTTGCTTAATATGCTCCACACTTCTGTTTGCCTAATGTTCTCTTTTTCTGTTACATTATATAGGTATGAAGTTGTCTTGGGCAGTTGAAATACCTGAAACAACAGATTGCAACAGAAATGAATTTTTCATTTATCTGTATGTAACTTGAAGTCAGAATGCCTCCAAGCTTATCTAGCTGTTCTCAAGTTTTCCTTATTTACCTACAATCAATCACTTTGAGAATTGGGGGATGGAAAGAGAAGCCGATTATTCTGAGAACCCTGATTTCAGTTATTTGGTCTTTAGTTAAGCTAAATTTTCAGGCAAACTTTCTCTTACTTCTCCTAGGAAGAATTACTTAGATTAAGTTGAGATGATTCTGATACTGAGAGATTTATAGTCATTCATGATCAGCATTGAATGATTTAACGTTCTAAAATAATTTATTTTTTGTTAAACTTTTAAGTTGATATGAAGTACAACGATGTATTAAACCAACAACTGGAAAACATTCTGAATACCCTTGACTTAAACCGTATTCACATGAGGGTTAATGGGGGTGGGGGAGAAGGGAAAATGGGTGATGGGCATGGAGGAGGGCACTTGTTGGCATGAGCACTGGGTGTTATATGGAAACCAACATGACAATAAACTATAAAAAATAAATAAAAGAAAAAACATTCATATATACACATCTACATATACATAGAAGCAATACCTTATAAAAGAGCAAGAAAGATGTTCGTGATTAGTACACATGAACATCTGGATACCTTTATCATTACAAGAGAAATCAGTGAGCAAGATACAGAAACAGCAGAGATCTATGAATACATAAGAGTGGCTATTTTGTGCCCCTCTCAGAGTAGAGGTGAATGGTTTTTACTTGTGTAGCCCCCTGAAGGAAGCAACAGGATACCGAGAAGTACAAGTGGATTCATAAACATTTTAATGTGTCCTTAAGCTGAAACCATTAACTAGCTACCACTAAAAAAGTAAAATGATAATTAGTTTACTAACCCTCACATATGGCTCCTTAGCCGATGCCTTACCATTACTAACATGCCCAAATTGAATTGTCTCTCATTGTCTCAATGATTTCTCAAGGTCTCTGATGAAGAAGTTAAAAGAAACCATGACACTTCTAAAAGAGCAAGACTGAAAAAAATAAACTCGTATTAAACTTTTTAAATGTTGTGATTAGGGGGCACCTGGCTGGTTTACTAGGTAGAGCAGTATCCCTTGATCTCAGGGTCATGAATTCAAGCCCCATGCTGGGTGTGAAGCCTACTTAATTTAAAAACAAAAATCAACTGTGATTAGGCTTTTTTGAGACAGTGAACACTGAACATGTACTAGATTTTAGATAATATTAGGGCATTATTTTTTATTGTCTTGGGTATAATTTGCTCATATTAAAAAAGAAAAGTCCTGGGGCGCCCGGGTGGCTTAGTCGGTTAAGCGTCCGACTTTCGCTTAGGTCATGGTCTCGCGGTTCGTGGGTTCGAGCCCCGCGTTGGGCTCTGTGCTGACTGCCAGCTCAGAGCCTGGAGCCTGTTTCAGTCTGTGACTCCCTCTCTCTCTGACCCTCCCCTGCTCACGCTGTCTCTCTCTCTCTCCTAGAAATAAATAAAACATTAAAAAAAAATTTAAAAAAAAGAAAAGTCCTTAGCTGTTAAGAGATCTATACTGATATACTTACAGGTAAACTCACCTGTTCTGGATTTGCTTTCAAATGCTCCAGCTAAAACAAACAATAACTGAATGCTGGGTAGGGAGATGAAACCAGTAGGCCTGCTGTGACAATTATCGAAGCTGAGTAATGGATGGGTCTCTCTCTTGTGTATATTATTTCTACAACAGAGGTTTTAAAAGAGGGATTGGGTGCATTAAGTGACACAGCTTTATTTCCAAAGAGGCCTAAATTCTATTTCTTAATCTTAAAAGATCAATAGACCTGTAAACTGTCAGTAAAAGCCACCATTTGTTTACTATATACCAGATACCGTGCTGTTTCATAGTCATTTAACTTAATCTTGAGCACTCTAAAAAACAGCTACTGTTACTAATTTCATTTTTGAGTTGGAAAAACAGGTTTAAGATGGGGCGCCTGGATGGCTCAGTTGCTTGAGCCTCCGACTTCGGCTCTGGTCATGATCTCACGTTCCTGGGTTCGAGCCCTGCGTTGGGCTCTGTGCCGACAGCTCAGAGCCTGGAGCCTGCTCCGGATTCTGTACCTTCCTGTCTCTCTGCCCCTCCCTGTCTCACGACTTGCCCAAAGTCACTGTTAGATCCAACACAGCGAAGTGGGGGTAGGGGTGGCTCTCAGACTCTAGTGAGGCTAATTAACTACAAAATACCTTACAGTAGCCCAAGACAGTAGCCTGGGTGGCTCAGTCAAGTGAGGGTCAGGTCATGATCATACGGTTCATGAGTTCAAGCCCAGCACTGGGCTCACGGCTGTCAGCGTGAGCCGCTTCCCATCCTCTGTCCCCCTCTCTCTCTGGCCCTCCCCACCCCCGCTTGTGCTCTCCCCAAAATAAATAAATATCTTAAAAAATAAAGGAGCCCCCAAAAGTAATTATTTCTATTAAGTAATAGTTTAAAACAAAATTTTAATTACTTCAATGAATAACTTAAAATTACATGGTATTCAATTGCTTAAAACAGTGTAAATAAAATAAGCATTCTTTAATATATCCTGAGGATAGCAAAAAAAAAAAAAAGTGTCTTTTTACCACATAAAAACAGTTTACCAACACTAAACTCGCAAATTCTGGCTCGAAAAACCATCTCAAACCTATCCTGCACGGCAAGCACTTTTGTCAGAACCTCTTTTGGTTTGAACCGTTATGGTTGCACGAGGATGCGCCTTTCTTTCGCAGAAAGGTGCATTCCGGGCTCAAAGGTCTGTAATAATTTAATACATTTCTATGCACCCTGTAGCACTGTAAACCACCAACCAGAGGGAAGGTGCTCAGTACACTATTTCTTTCCAGTTGCACCCATCACACATATTCTCACACAGGTAGGGCAAGAGACGCGCCTGGAGTCACAAAGGTGCCAGAGACAAACGAATAGGAACAGGACTGGTCCTCTTACGAGCAAAACAGAGGTCCAGAGGCTCCCAAGCGCATCCCAGCACCGGTAGCCACCAGCCTCTCCCCACGCGCGGCCGCCAACCAAACGCTCCAAAACCCAGCAGTCGGACTGGCGCGGGAAGCGAACACAGCGCGCCCCCGTCCGCTCCCCCGCCGGCGCATGCGCGGGGGCGGGCTCGTAAAGGGTAAGCGAATCCTCAGCCTACGCGGGAGATCAAAGAACCACAGGAAGCGCGGGCTCGTGCTTCTTCAGGTTTCCCTTCAGCGGAGTTTAGCCGGGCCCCAGGCTCCTTCCTCAGGCAGCCCCTAAACCGTACCGCCACCCCTTACCCCAGCGGCCGAACGCCTACGTTCGGCCTGCAGTTCCCGACCGGAAGTAGCCGCTAAGACCCAGCGCTCCGGGTCTGAGGAAAGAGATGTCTTTTTACTCACGGCTTACAAGACTTCTTCAAGACTTTGGAAAGCCCTCCAGCACGGAAGCAGACACGACTCCGGGGCTGCGAAGCAACGATCACTCGCTTTTCTTCTCTTTCCCCCACGAATCCACCAAACCCCCTCCGGGAAAGCCGGCCCCTCGGGGCGGCCCGCGCTTTCCGCGGGTGGGGGAGGGCCCGAGGGCCGCCGGCCCGGCTGGTTGGCGCCGGGGCCCGCCCCCATCGGAGCCCGCTCGACGTCACGGAGGAGTTCCCCTCACGTCATGCTCCTCCTCCGGCCGCCCAGCGAGGCCGGCGCCCCGCACGCTTCTCGCGGAAGAGCTGGGTGGCCCGGGTGTCCCAACACTAAGGAGTCGAGCGCCAGCCTCTGCTTGTGTACAGGGCGGCTCCCGGAGCTGGAGGCCGCCACAGCCCTTTTGAGATGCGCCGGAGAAAGCTCAGGCATTTCCGTCTGGGAAACGCAAGCCGTTGGTGTTACAGTGTGCCTGACGTTAGCCTATTTCAGGAAAGCCTGTGTAAGGGTCACTACCATGGACAGTTAAAACCAAGTGATGAGGCAATGGACACGGATCAGTTTAACATAGCGTTCTGCCTTGTAGCCATTACCTGCAGTTTAGTGATGTGACCTGACAGGACTGGGTGATGAGGCCATGTAGCAAAAACGATGTATAAATGGAAAGTTGCCGAGGACCCTGAAATGAGACGGAATCAGAAGTGACCAGCATTATTTGTTGGGATAACAGCTGCTAGGTAATTTAATTTTTTTAATCAACACCTTCTGTGGCTGTTTGTTTATAATGGTCAACCTGTTAGTCTGTTTTCCTATTTGACTTCTAGGATTAATGCTTATGAGACGTAGGAGGAAGATAAAGCATAGTATTATACACTTTAGAAGTTAAGTAGTATTTAGGAAATCATAAATACAAGCTGTAAAGCTATTTTTTTCCACTCACCCCCGATGTTAAGGGATGGACATCATAGCTTAGTCCTTGGAATTTCACCCAATAGGGTGTTTCTGTGCCATTCTAGCAATGCTATAGGAACGTTAGTATCTTCAGGCAAGAGGATTGCTAAACCTTCGTAACTCTGTTATAGTAACCATCATTTACTTCCATATTTTATAAGACTTCATAACACTTTTGAAGAAAATGGGTGAAAAATTGACTGCCATTTCTAACACAACACAGGAAACATACTTGTTTGTATAAATGTTTATAATGGAAACAGAGTTCTGTTATAAATGGGAAGAACCTGTAAGCAGTTTGTCACTTAACTGTGCATTGAAAGAACAGTTTACTTGTGGTCTGAAGAAAAACCGTCAGAACAAAATGATAAAACTTGTTCCTCTGGCCTCTGCCAATAGCTTCACCACCCATTGCATTTATATAAATCCAAAGAATCATCCTTGACACCTTTCCCCCCTTTAACCCCCATAGCGAAACTACTACCAAGTCCTGTCAGTTTTACTTACCACATATATCTCAAATCAATCCCCTTCTTTCCATCACTTCCACCATATTCCAAAATACCATTTTCCCTTACCTGGTCTGCTAGTCTGCTTTCCATATCCATCCAACCAACAACCCTATCTAACTAAACCTTTCTGTTTACTGGTGTTCAGAAAAAAAAAGAGTATATATTTTCAATTCATGTATATATTTAAATTTTAAATTAGATACATGTTTATATATATATGTTAAAAAATATATTTTTTTTTATAAAATTTTTTTATAAACCTGGCTGGCTCAGTCTGTAGAGCAAGCAACTCTTGATCTTCAGGTGTGAGTTGAAGCCCCATGCTGGGTGTAGAGATTACTTTTTTTAAAAAAAGATAAATTGTATTTATGTATTGCAGAAAAATGATATATAGTCTAATGGGTATGTCACAGGCTCTGGAGACAGGCTCCCTGGGTTTGAATCTTGCTCTGATACTTCCTTACCAAGTGACCTTGGACTAGTTTCTTAACCTCTGTCTCATTTTTCTTACATATAAACTGAGGATAATAATAATATATTAATATAATAATAATATGGATAGTACCAACCATACGGGGTTAGGTTTTGAAGAGTAAATGAAGTAGTACATGTAAAATGAAGTAGTACACTGCTTAGTACTGTGTTCAGAGACACAGTATGTGCTTGGAAAAAAGCTAGCCCTTATTAGCACTTCTGAGCTAACTCATAACTATTATAACATATTTTTAAAGACATTTTTAGGGGCAACTGGGTGGCTCAGTCAGTTACGTGTCCGACTTCGGCTCAGGTCATTTCATGGTTTGTGGGTTTGGGCCCTGTGTCAGGCTCTATGCTGACAGCTCAGAGCCTGGAGCCTGCTTCAGATTCTGTGTCTCCCTCTCTCTCTGACCCTCCCCTGCTCACACTGTCTCTATCTCTCTCTCAAAAATAAATAAAACATTTAAAAAATTTTTAAAATAAAGACATTTTTGAAAAGGGTGAGAAAAAAATGGGAATCTATGTTTTCCTCCTCCCACTTTAAATTTTACTCACTTTGAGACTTTATAGCTACTATGATCTTCGCAAAAAATAAATCTGATAATGGCTGCTTACCCTTCAGTGGCCCTACTGTTACTCCTCAAAGCCCCTTTGAACTGCCTCTACTACCTCTGCAGGTTCATTTCCTATCATTTTCTGCCATCTGGCCTTGATCTTTTAGTGTCTCTCAGAGGTCTTTGCATGCTGTTGCCTCTGGAATTATCAACCAAACTTACCCCTGCCCTTTGCCTAGCTATTTACTAATCATTTTATCTTGTTTTAATAGTCTTTTCTATTAAATCCTCTTATAGCACTATGTACGTTCCCATCTTACACTTTTTACAGTTTTAAATATTTGAATAATTTTCTCTTCCCATTAGACTAAATTTCTTGAGGTCAAAACCATGTCTTGTTCACCTTTTGGCCTCCAGAAACTAACCCACTGCCTGCCATAAAGTCAGTACTGTGTGGATAAATGAATAAATTTTAGGGATAGACTATTTTATATGTAAGTGGAGAAAGTCTTTGAATCCATTCAAAATTCTTAGATTATCTGTGTGAGATTTTATGATGATCACCTTAATGGAAATGGTTGGTATATTCATATTCTCTCCCAATAAGAGCTTTAAGCTCCATATGGTGGAATAAATTATGAAGTTCTAAATATATGTGAGAAAACTTTATGGCTTTGAACAATGTTTCCCAAATATTTTCAATACTTAGAAAATGAATAATTGTGTTACATATTGTGATAAAAAGATGAGGCTGCTTCCATCCAGAGGCAGCAGAAGTTAGAACTTTAGCCCCCAGGGCCAATGATGCTCCTTTGAGGGCTGGGATTTTAATGTCTTAGCACACCTATTATCCATCCATTGTAGGCCTCTCGTTAGGATGCTCGACTTAAAAATTGTGTGGTGAAATGACTAAAACGGTAAATTTTACAATATATACATCTATACATTTAACCACAATAAGAAAAAATGTGTGGTATCAGTAAAAACTCTAGGACTCTTAGAACTGTACAATTTTTGAAATGTGATTTTAAAACTGTCTAACTCAAATCATTTTAAAACAAACCTTTTGTTGATTCTATTTTCTGCCTAACTCATACAGTTGAATGGCTGAGGGTTGCAAAGGAAAAATCACACAACAGGTTATACTGATGTCACTAAAATGGCATGGTTTCAAACCTCATATAGGGTGTCAATTAATTCTTAAAATAGACTTTGTTCAGCTGCTTTTTTTCTTTGCTGACTTCCAAACCTTTACTATTTTCTTCAAGCCTCTGTACAGTATTCTCACTCTCAGCAGACACCCTAGTCTCCAGGTTAAGCAGAACAATTGGGGTCTACAGGTGTGGTCTCTTTAAATTTCACTTTTCCTTTTTCAACCCTGTGAATTAGGCAATACCATTTTGCAGATACAATGTGACTCATATCCAGCTGCTTCTCCCCACCTCTTCTGCATCCACCTTGGAGTGGAGCCATCAGCATCTCAAACCTCTTCTGCAGCAATAGCCTCTTTTTTTTTTTAGATCAACTGCCTTTCTACTTTTACTGTTTCCCCCTTAGTGTAGTGTACAGCAATTAGAGTATTCCTTTAAACAGATCAAGCAGATTTAGTCAGAACAAGATGCTGTCTTTGCCATAAACATTGCAGTGTCTTTCTGTCACCTTAGAATAAAGTCAAGCCCTTTTCCATGGAGTCAGGACAAGTGAATCACCACATTATACTGGTGTTATCTCCCAAATAGTTTTGAATTAGTGCTTTCCTTTCCATTCCCTTTTACCCTCATTTAGGTCCTGTTATTTCTTACCTAGACTATACAACCTCCTTGTTTCTAGTCTTCTTCTTAATAGTCTCTACACAGCTGCCAGAGATCTAAACCATTATTTCTGAGCCTAGCATTTCCTTGCTTAAACTCTTATGTGGCTCTCCATTGCTTAAATAGCACCTCTAATATGAGCACATAATACTAATAAACTGGGGGTGAGCTGTCTACCTACAGCCAGAATTATTTTGGAACTATTTAGAATTATTAACTATTTAGAATAATTAAGAACAAGACAAAAGGCTGTTTGAGAGATAAGTGGGAAAGGAACTTTTGGGACAAAAGAAAATTATGTTCACTGTCAGCATTTGTGTCAACTTGAACACTTGATTTAATTAAGTTGTTTACAGTAATTACCAAGTATTGTTTAGTGGTGAGAGTATACATCCATTGATGATCTTGCCCCAAGTGACAAAATGTTTTGTTTATGATTTGAATTGATGGTGGCAAGATTCCAATTGGGTTGAGCAGTTTTATAATTGTTTTAAAAAAATGTATTTAACATTCTCGGAGGATGTCAGTTTTACAGTTTTTATTTTGACAGTCTAAGTGGTCTTAAAATGAATGTTCTTATAACGAACATTAAAAATTATACATTGCTTTCCAATTAGAAAAATTAGCCTTATATAGTCTGGCCAACTTCCAACTTCGATATAAGAAACTTTATTTTTATTTTTACTATGGCTACATATTCCTTCTTCATTTCTTTTTATAAACTAGTTAGTAGTTTATGATATTTGTGTTCTTAAATATCATTCACTTATTTACTTCATTTTACATCAGTAATGGGCAAAGTTTTGTTATTTATATAATTTGCCCGATTTAGGAACTCTTTATACTTGACAAAGATTCCTATACACTATACGATATACTGTATTGTCTTGCTTGCTTAGTTGCCTAGGTTTAAATAATGGCAGGCTGATCAAGAATGTTAATGATCTATTACTGCAAAATGATTTATTATGAATGAAAAGGAGCTTCTTTTTCTTCCAGGTCAGCCATTTTATAATACAATGACTGCTTGGCAATATTTCATACCTATTCATATGGGTTTATAGAGCTCAGGAATTTTGTTAGCTAGCCCTGAGGTCTTGTCTGTTAACACTGGCATTTAACTTCTGTGAAGATGATAAAAGAATATAAGATTGATTAATCACTAAGACAGGAGAATAGAAAAGTGGATTTTATTTTGAGAATCTTGTGAAACTAATATTTACCTTTTTATCCAGTAAATATAGTATTATTCTATCTACATATGGATAATGCTACCATGATGGAAGCTGTGGGAACAATATTTATTTACAGTAATGTAAATGGAATTTACATTCAACTCAGTTGAATTCCCAGCTCTTGATTTTGGCTCAGGTC